GTAGAGATGAGGTCTTGCCAAGTTGCCCAGGCGGGTCTCGAATCCGCGGGCTCAGGCAATTCACTCACCTCCGCCTCCCAGAGCACGGGATTACAGGCTGAGCCACCGAGCCTGGCTGGAATGGAAATATTCTGAATTTCAGATTTTGGAATATTTGCATTATACTTACCCAGCTAAGCATTGCTAATCCCCAAATCTAAAATACTCCAAAAAGCATTTCAGATGATCTTTTTATTTGTCATGTCTGTTCAAAAAGTCTGATTTTGGATTAGTTTGGATTTCAGAATTGTACATGAGAGATGGTCAACCTCATTTTCAGATGATACATATATATGGTATGGAGGTAGGAGATCCAACTTTCCTTTCCAGAAATTTATAAGATAAGCCATTATTTCCCTACTGAACCAGCATGAGGTCTACAATTCCTTGTCTATAAATGTGAAATCCAGAAGGCTCTAGAGAACAAACATTTTCACCAAAAACTCATTTGGTAGCAGAACATGGACATTAAGTTTCTATGCCATTTCCTTTACTCCATTATATAAGTTAACTGAAGAATTATTGATGATTCAACTGTAAAGCACTTTCCCAGATCCTGCTGGAGAGGTTAGTGATTGTACCATGTAGTCTTTCTGAAACCCCCAGATAAATTCAGAAAATTCTGTGGCCCTAAGGTTTCAGATAAGGGATCTGTACCAACTTTAACAAATTGCTGAGTTGCAATACATACTGAGATCTTTTGCTACACTTTTTTTTTTGAGTCAGTCTTACTCTGTCACCCAGGCTGGAGTGTAGTGGCACACTCACGACCACTGCAGCCTCGACCTGTTGGGTTCAGGTGATCCTTCCGCCTCAGTCTTTCAAGTGCACAGACATGTGTCACCATGCCCAGCTAACTTTTTGATTTATTGAAGAGACAAGGTCTTGCCATGTTGCTCAGGCTGGTCTCAAAGCTCAGGCAATCCTCTTGCCCCAGGTCTCAAAGTGCTGGGATTACAGGCTTGAGTCACCATGCCTGGTCTTGCTATATACTCTTTATTCTAGTTGCACTGCTTTATCACAGTACCAATATCACTTTTTACATGTTTAATTGCAGTAGCTTTGTAACAAGTTTTAATATTTGCTAACTCAAGTCCCTGAACTCACTACTGCCCTTTTTATAATCTTGGCTACTGTTAATTATACAGTATAAAACTTCAAAAATAATTTCATTTTATTCCATCCAGTCCTGCTCTTTTGCCTAAATTTTGACTAGAATTGTGCTGTCTATATTAATTTGGGAAATAACTCATTTTTGTTTTGCTATTAAATCTCCCACCTAAGAACACAGTATGTCCCTCCATTTATTCAGGTCTTGTTTCATATACTTGGCGTATTTGTAGTCCTTCTTAAGGATCCCATATCTTTCTTCATAAATCTATATTCTTAGTTATTTCATACATTGTATGGTTACTGTGAGATTTATTCCCATTAATATTTCTTTTTTTCATCTACATGCACTGTTGTAGAATCCTATTTACATTTCTAACTGGCATGTACTAGAATAAAGAAAATGTACTACTTTTTGTATGTTATTTTGAATCACATCCCCTTTCTAAATTCTAGTAGTGCTAATAACATTTTGCTAGGACCATTCAGCTTTTCTAAGAATATAATCACTTTATTTGCACATAAAGAGTTTTCATTTTACACTGATAATGTTGCCAGATTTCTTAAATTGTCTTTGCATTCCAGAAACAGACCCTACTTAGGAATCAT